CAGATCCAAGCTGTAGCCAGGAATTTGGGGGCTGGATCCATGAGTTATCTGGCTGCAGCAGTGTCTGCATGAGATCCTGGACTGCAACCAGACCAGCCCCTTGAAAAAGGGCTGCACATGTGCTCAGACCCGGACACCCAAGTGCTGTGAAGAGACATCCCGCTTCTGTCCCACCATGTCCTAGGGGACATCATGGCCAGCATTGCCACCTGGGTGAGGGAGGGGATTGTCCCACTCTGCTCTGCACTGGGGCGGCCTCACCTGCAATTTTTGGCATTTTTGGGTGCTGCAGTATAAAAAAGATCTAAAGCTGTTAGAGAGTGTCCAAAGGAGGGACACGAGGATGGTGAAGGGTCTGGAGGGGAAGCCACAGGAGGAGCTGCTGGGGGCACTTGGTCTGTTCAGCTAGAAAAGAGGAGACTGAGAGGAGACCTAATCAGGGTCTGCAGCTTCCCCATGAGGGGCAGCTCCCATCTCTGGTCTGTGTGACCAGGGACAGCACCCAGGGACCGGCTGGAGCTGTGTCAGGGGAGGGTTAGGCTGGATATTATCAGGAGAAGGTTCTTCCCCCAGAGCTGGTCAGGCACTGCAGCCAGGAGAGGTGGGATGTGCCCATTCCGCAGTACTGGTGGAATCGGTACATCAGCAGTACATCAGGCTGTCTTGGGGCTGGAAATGAGTGAGACAAACACTACAGACCACGTGTAGGGTACCCAAACCGAGGTCTTGGGGACCACTGTCACAGAACAGCTGTGTTTTTGAGAGAATTTGCTCTGACACAGAAAAATGTGGATACTTCTTGTGATCAGACTGGTTTGTATGAGAGCCAAGCAAGAGTCCTGCTTTTCAGTCCTGCTTTTACTAAGATTTTTTCCAGTTAGATCCCCCCTCTCCCCCCTGCCAAGAACCTTTCACAATATTTCATCTTCTGGAAGCACTTGGAGTTCCCTCTCAGCTGAATGCCAGTTGTGGATTAGTCAGAGGTGATATCAATACAGAGCACGTTCAGAGAAGACTCAGTCATCAGCATCCCACAGTGAGGATTTTAAGGCCCAGCATAACCTGTTTCTTGTCTCTCTTGAATTTCTTCTGAGTGCAGTAGAGGAGACTCAGCACATTCTCAAGGCCCTGTGCTCCCCTGAGACTCCTCTTGCAAAGAAGTAACAAGGGATGAGTGATTGGGGATTATCGTCTCAGGATGGCTGAGGATCAGGAGAGTATGGAGAAAGCAGGTGAGCTTGAGATGTCCCTCAGGGGATGGTGAGATTTGATTCTTCTCTGTAGATTTCTTAGGTTGCAGCTTTTGATTGAGTCACTTCTCTGGGCAGTGTCTTAGAGAGGGAGCTGCAGTGGCATCCCCGTGGTAGGAAGCTGGTGTGTCGATAGAAACCATATTCTTTGTCTTTTCTAGGCGTGAAACCTGGTGCTCTGGAAGTGCAGCCAAGCAGTGGACAGGCTGCAGATGGTGTGAAACTATCTGACCCAAGCCCTGAGGCGAAGCCAGAGCTGTTCACATCATCTGGCAGCAGCTTCCGATTTGATTTTACGCTTTCCGAGACTGACCCGGGAGCAGACCCTGGTGACAGTGGAGCTGTCACAGCCACCGAGCAGGAGAGCTGCAACGGAGCCTTGAGCTTTGCTGCCTCTGGACAAGAACCCAAGTTTGCTTTCAACTTTGCCATCCCAGATGAAGACTGTCCTCAGCTCCAGCTACTTCCATCAAGCCAACACACAGACCCTTCACTGCCTGCTGAACCGGCTGCAGCCGTGCGGGACCCTGAGGGGAGTCAGGCTGCAGGGAGTGCATCCAGAGAGGACAGAAACCATGTCACATCAAAGATCCCCCAAGCAGAGACTGCTCCTGCAGATGAGGCAGCGACAGCAAAATCAGCAGGAGATGGAGCTGCCCAGAAGAAGAAAAAGAAGAAGAAACAAAAACCACCTGTCAGTAAAAAGGAGACAGAGGAAACTGAGACAAGCAGGAAAGCAAAGACAGAAGCTAAGAGCTGTCAAAATACAAATACTTCCCATCAGGATGAGAAGACCTCTCAGGTAGTTAAATATTGATGAGATCCCATAATTTAGAAACCCTTAAGCTAAAGAGGCACTTTATCTCTTTGCACAAATGAACAGTTAGCATGCTGCCTTGAGATGAGAGCTGCTTACTTCTTCCAGCAGCTGTTTGCATTCTCTGCTGCACAGCTGAGGAACCTGGCTAGTGGAAAGGGAGTTAACTGTCCTTCAGACTTGTGCTGAAACATTTCATGTTTAGGCTTGTGACAGCTAATCCTGGGGAGATGGATGCCATGTTTTCTTAAGAAAAGGAAAATAAGAAATGGAGGTAACTGCCCTCAGTCAGTGCCTGTGGGTGCTGAACCCGGCCCTGGTCCTGTTGCCAGGCAGGATGAGTTGCTCACATAGTGCAATAGCAAAGCCAAGGCACAGAGCTGCCTCCTGGTGTAGCCAGGGGTCTGGGGTGGAGCTCAAGGAGCTTCCCAGAAGGTTCTCACTGTAGGGCACGGCCCAGAAATCTACTGAGGTTGCAAGTTATGTGTCAACACACCATTAAGGCACACCCTGAGGTTTTCTGTTCTGAGGAGGGTCTGGGTCTTAATTTTATTTTACTTCTCAGCACTGGTGTAGGTATTACTATCAAACAGTGCCAGCTGAGCAATACTGGAATAGAAGATTGCACAAAACCTTCCTTTTCTTAGTATTGTACAAGGAAGTTGCACTGAGTGCTCACTTGCCTCTGGAACATTCCATCCTACCCATAAACACTGCTGAGTTCAGGGGAGGTAGGAAGACTGGAAGGTGAGTGAGGTAAAGTCCTTCCATTCCTTTGGAAGGAGACTGTTGTAGGTGAGGGCTTTTGTGTTTACATGTACATAACAGTTACCAATTGCTTCAGTCCCAGGGTGCAGCCCTGTTTTCCTTCCCACTGCTGAGTTAGCCAGCTGGCTTTGCTTGATGGGACTTGGCTTCCTCCATCTCCATGGGCTTTAGCTTCTTTCTCCTCATGTATTTCTGGTTTAGCAAGCACACAGGAGCTGACAAATTTGTCCGTTGTTCACTTTTTTTTTGATTTTATGCAGGTCTGGGGGCAGGGTTTTTTTGTTGTTAATGCTCATTTCTCCCATCTGTGAGTGTATTTGACAGCTTCTTTCAGAGGAAAGGCACTGAACAGCTTTCCAGAAAACAACATCCTCTGAATGGCAGCCACATATTAAACCCTTCAAATAGAGGCAGTGAGTTGCAGCTAAACATTTGTACATTTGTGCAGTGCTCTTAGTTTATCTGATGAAAAACACTAGAGGGAAAATGTCATGGAGTCTGTAAACTGATCACCAGCACGTGATGGTGAGAATAGTCCTGACTTTATGCAGTTCCCTTTTATCTCATGTAGCAACTGCTGCTTTAATTTTTGGGTGACTTATTTCCTCTTGCTCCCTGTGCCCCACACTGATGGCAGTCAGAGGAGCAGCTGCAGAGGGAGCTGGACTGGTGTGTGCGACAGCTGGAACTTGGCTTGAAGACACAGAAACCCACTGCAAAGCAGGGTAGGCATTCAAGGACAGGCAAGCTGTCTCCTGTGGGAAGGGCTGGCAGGAATGCAGGGGCAGGAAGCCTTAAGCTGTGTGGTGTTCCTCCTTTGCTGCAGCTGAGGACGCTCTGCGGGCCATCAGGACGCTGCGCAGTGACAAGGCTCCCCTGGTGAAGAAGCGTCAGCTCATGAGAGCTATGTTTGGAGACTACAGGAAGAAGATGCAGGAGGAGCTGTGCAGGGAGCTGAAGCTCATGGAAACAGGTAGGAGAACTTCTCATGGTGAGGAGAAGAAGAAGAAAGGCACTCGCTCCTGCCCTGCGGATTGCTTTGCAGAGTGGGGTGATCACTCTACACTTGTAACGGCTCTTTTCTCCCCTCTTTAAGCTGCAAAGGCTGCCAGGATCGTGGAGGTGAAGGGAAACATCCTTAAGAAGAACGGCCAGTTCGTCCGGAAGTGCTCGGGAGCTTGCAGGAAAGGCCAGGGTTCAGCAGGATCCCCTTCAGAGGCCCCCAGGGCACTTTATGCAGGCTTATTCAATGACACAGCTTCCAAAGAAGAATTTCGCTTTAATTTCTTCTAGGAAAGTGTCTTAGACTAAAACCATGGCAGAAAACCTCTGTGCCAGATCTGTAAACTGCAGAACAGTGGAGAGGTGCTGTGCACCAGGCAATGGCACCAGTGGTTCTCTGGATCCTGTTCCAGAGTGCCTTATCTAGAAGTTTAAACCAGATCCATATGACCCCAGGACTCAGCCATCATAGCGCTCCTCTGTGCTCACACTGTAGAGAGGCACCCTTGAAAGGGTCAGCAGTGAAAGGAGCTGGTTTTCTTCCTGTGGAATTGACATGAACTGTAAAATCTGTCTTTTACACCATGAGATTTTCCCATTCTCCTGCGGCTTTTAAATAGAGCTTTCCTAGCACACAGAGGGGAATGGTTTGGAAAGAAGCTCCAGCTTTTGTGAAGATCCAGCAGTGGGTATTTGGATGCTTCCACTCCATGAGTCTGTGAATGCACCTTCTGACATCAGCAAACAGCAGCAATGCCATCGCTGACATGGAGGGAGTGGAGCTCAGGGTCTGGGGGGAGAGTGAGTGAGAACCATTTTTGCTGATTCATCTCTTTCAGTGGCAGGTACAGACTTAGAATAAAACGGCAAATGCTGATTTAATCCAGCCAAGGGATGTAAGGACAGTTGTTTCCAGAGAGGGAAGGGGTTTTGTTGCTGGAGCCAGGTTCTGGCCAGCTAGGAAGGGTGTACAATCAGTTCTTAAATCAGGTTTACTTTGTAAGGAGTCCAGTTACAACCACCAGTGACTCAGGTAAAATCAGCTGCGTGCCAACCTTGGGTGGTGGTGAAATGAACTGTCAGAGCCCAAAGACTCTCTTCTATTTGATTTGTATTAAATTTTGGCTTTTTGAATGTGTGTCTCTAGTGTTTCCGTACTACTTCAGTCACTGAACCCATCTCCTGTGTTCCTACAGAAAATCTTCCCACCAAGCCTGAAAAAGCTGAAGGAAGAGAAGTGCTGTAAAAGGCTCCGTGGTATCAGGTGTCCCTGGGGAGCAGTGCTTCACTCCCTTTTATGGCCCAGTCAGTCTGTGTGAGAAGTGAGAAATGGGAGTGTGGGCAGATTCCAGGGAGTGCTGAGAGCAGCTGAGATGGTGGAAAATATTGGCTGGCAAAGACTTTAAAAAACCTGATGTTGGCTCCAAAAAATTAATTTTATTACTAAGCCCTGACGCAGGCGGTGGCATCTGTGAGAATTTTTATTTTTTTTTAAAGAGTATTTTAAAGAATTCCTGTCTGGGAAACTGAATCTGGATAACATGCATTACAGGCAAAAATATGCAGAGATGACTTTGTGTCTTCTAGAAGTCAGTGGGTAAAAACTAGAAATCAGTTTTATTTGCAAAGGAGCACAGCTTTAACTGTGTGGAACAGCCTTAGACAGTTTTTTTTAGTTCTGATTTCCAGGATTTTATATTAAATATACAAAAGCTGCGTCCTTATCAAACTTTTAGTGTTTTCATGCCATTTACTGAGACTAAAGAGCATCTTTCCTTGACCTTGGAACTACAGCTGTTTGCTTTCCTGGCTGGTTGTGCAGCAGATGTCTGGGAAATGGTTATTTTTTTCCCTTGTCCTGTCTCAGGTAAAGCTAGAGCTGCTAAAACATTACAAAATCCTTGCTGCAGAAGGCTGCAGGAGTATTCTGGGAAGCATTCTTATATAATTGCCCCGTGCTTGTGCTGTTCCTTAGGCGTTCACAATCAGAGTAAAGATACCAATGAGGTGTGTGTTTGGTGTAACCTGATCCAGCAGTTTATCTTCAGATAAAAAGAGGTCAGAGAAAAATGCATTCTGATCCGAGAACAGCTCCTGTGGGTTTCCAGAGGTCTGGATAATGCTGACCTCCAAAGCCAACCTGTGTTCTTTCTCCTGTGCTTTGTTATTGCAGGGCTTACACATGTGTATGTGGGAAGGCAAATGTTCATCAAGGTGATCCCTCATCTCCCTGAGTGCCATTCCAGTCATTCCACAAGTCAGCCATGGGGATCTTGGGCAAAGCATTTTGCTTCTCTCTGTCCACTCCCGGTTTTCATAGCCAAGGTGACGCCTCCTGAGTTTTACAGATGTGCCCAAGTTACTTCACTAATGATTTTGTGTTGAACTGGCAACACTGTGGTATTTTGCATCTGAAACTACAGCAGTCTATACTTCATTTTTAAGCTTTGCCATGCTTGAAGTGCCTCTGCTGTTTGTCTCTGTTACATTTGTTGAAAGGAAACAAGCCATGTTATTCGGAGTTAAAGAGTGCTCTGGGCTGCTCCAACCAATCCTTTCCCCTTTAGAGGGTCCACAGTGCAGTCTTAATGAGTTTTTTTGTGTTTTTTTTTTTTTAATGGTGTTTTCCCCTTTTAGTATTTCTTTAGGATTTCAGTGCTGATTAGGGTTCCAGTGATGTCTCTTGTTGCAGCAGTGCCAGGTTTAGGTCAGGGCTTTGCTCTGCTAGTGACTGTATTACCCGTGGCTGGAGGTTTGTTCCACGCCCCAAGGCATTAATGATGTGCAGCAGTGAGGGAGAAGGGAGATATTCTCATCTGCCTGGACATCTTTGTTCCACTGTTCTTGCTTTGAGGAAATGTAGCTCAGTTTTAGTAGAAAATCGAGCTCAGTTATCTATCTCTGCATCCTCTCCTCAGCTTTGTGCCTTTGGGCATTTGAGTTTGGTGCCAGCAGGGTGACTGGATTTGGGATCCTGTGTCTGGATTTGGGATCCTGTGTCTCTTTGGTGACTGCCCACCTAAATGTCGGGCAGCAGTGCCAGGCCCAGGCTTGTGGGCTGCAAACTGCTTACAGGAGCTTCCAGCACGGCTGAGACCTCAGGGGTGAGTTAAAAGACAAGGCAACAGGGAATGTGAAGTACCACAGTGCCTCTAGAGCCAAACTTGCTGCATAGCATCGATCTCGAAAAACTAAAAGCTGAGGAGCAGCTTCTAAAATGAGTAGCAGGGTCAAGGAACGCTGTGAGCTGTCTCAGACCATCCACTGCAGTAAAGCAGGGCAAACGTCTCACTTTGGGGAGCACAGTGAAGGATTTTAGGGTTATTTCTGTGGCAGGGTGAGGCCAAGAATGTTTCGACATAGAGGCAGCAGAAACCTGGGCGTGATCTCTGGTCCTTTTTGGCTTGGCACCCTCCTCTGTAAATAGATTCCCTGAGCAAAGGTTAGGAAAAGCAATCCCATTCCAAACAGACCCTGCCTCCAAGTGGAATGGCCAGCCTCCCCCCTCCCGTCCCTGCTGGCATTTTGGCTGTTATCCTGGATGCTGGGCATTAATCAGTACGTTTGTCCAACCCCTTCTCCTGGGCTGGGTCAGTGGAAATGCATTTATTGATCCTTGGGCCGCCCCTCTTTGAGTAATTGGGGGGCAGAGTTACCAAGGAGCAGCCCAAGGATTTCCAAGGGATCCCCACAAAGTGCAGCTGGAATTATCTCCAGAGTCTCAGCAGCCACTTCTAGGGGGACTCCCTCTCCCAAGACCAGCAAAGACAGAAAGCCAACAAGTTGGTCCTACTGATCCTGTAACTCAGGTGACTGATATTACCTTGTCTCACTTAAAGAGTGCTGAGGGTGGGCTCAGCAACTAATCACCCCTAAAGGATAAAATATTATCTTCGTTTGGGTAGGAAGACCCCAATCCTAATTTATCTTTTCTTTGAATTAGAAAGAAAAGCTTAGTAGTTCAAGCAACACAGCAACCGGAACACCGTAACTGAAGGTTGAAGAGTGAGGAGCATTGACCCTGCAGCTCCATAGCAAGAAAAAGAGGAGATACTGCTATTTTAAGATCATATGAAGCTGTGACAGATGATCTTGTGTCTTTCTGTTGCCTAAGATTTTTTTGCTGCTCGCTGTTTGTGCTGCTTTCATGTTTAGGACTGCAGAAGGTTTGTAAGACGCTGCTTTGGAAAACCCAGGTCTGACATCCCTTCCCGCAGTGGTTTGATTACTGGCACCAGTCCTCCCGTGGGCACTGGCAGCTGGGGATTGCTGACCCCTGGCTGGGTTTGGTCCATTTTTGGCTTCTTCCCTGTGAGTGCATCAGCCGGTACGAGCAGCTCCTGATACCTCCCCACCAAGATGGAAGAGGTCTGGGTTGTTTATCTCTGCCTGATCCTGATGATCATCGTGCTTGTTCTCATGAAGCAAAACCCACATCTGGAAGAGGCCAGGAAGGACAGGGAAAGCAAACCCTCCCCACCATCTTCCTTTTCCCCCAGTAATGTGGGCAAACAGCTGGAGCACACCCAGGAAGAGCTGGAGGAGTATCTCGAGAGGCTAAACAATGTCTTGTTTGACACAGAAGCCAGGAGAAGGGATGGCCACCATGATCAGAAGTCCCAACATCACAGAAGTGCTGATTTTGTGTCAGAAACTAAGGAGCACTCACAGCACCTGTCAGGCTACACAGAAGTCCAGGTATGAGCCTTAGAAAGACTGTCAGACTCAGCCAGACCTCGAGCTCCTGGCTGAGGCAGTGAACCCTGAGGAACTGCACAGTCCATGAGGTTGGCTGGGGGAGAGGTGGAGGGAAGTGTTTGGATGTGATACAATCCTATTTCTGCACTATTTATTCAACATTAAGCACTCACCCAGAGACAGCTCTGTGTGACAGGTGTGGTGTGAATGCTACACGTGAAGGATGCAAATGTTGGCATTAGCACCCCTGCATCTGTGTGTGTAACCATGATGTAAATGACTCCTTCCCATAGAAATAGGCATCAGTTCTAACTTCAAGAAATTACTGTGCAGCTCTTCAGCTGTTTTAAATCTCCTACTTTCCCCACATACAGCAACATTTTGCCAGTTTGCCAAGGGTCTGGCCCAGGAGGGTACAGGAGCTCTGCAAACACCTGTCTAGAGGTCACTGCATGGTATTGAGCCATGAGAAATACTTCTGGAAATTTTCTTCTGTGCATGATGATCATGCAGTGTACTATGTAAACATAAAAGGCACTGCTGGCAACCTGCAAACATTACTTTGCTTTGGCCAAGGCCCTTTTTTAGGAGCTGAAATGATGTAAGGCTTTATATTTTTGTCATGAACCTCATTGCAATACATCAGGTTTTGCCCTTGAGATGACAGTTTTCGTGGCAGCTCTGAGAGGCTGTGTCACTTTATGCCAGCAGCTGTTAATGTTCTTCATTCCTGAGACATGGATCTCACAGTGCCAGTGCCCTACTGTGTCCCAGAGCACGTCCTGGGTCAGGTGGGAGCTCCAGCACGAAGCCTTCAGTGCAGAGGAGAC